ATACTACTGTCATAACTGCAAATTTTTTGGTCATACTGACTGTAGATGCTTCAAATTACACCCAAACCTCAAAAAATCAGCTGCTGGTGTTCCAATTTTGCCCCACAGCCAATATTATTAGCAGTTGAAAGAAGCAGTTCTATTTGTTCCAAAATATCCTCCAAAGAAATCACCTTAGATTTTACTGTTTCTTTATGTATTCATTAGTTTTATGTGTCAATTTTAAAAAATTTTCAAGTCTCCCATTCAATTCACGAGGCCTTTACAATGTGTGTATTTTATCTTGACGTCATGAATTTTTCATGTATGTTTTATGCCTAAATGTTAGGGTTTTTCATGTTTATATGTTTTATGTGATTTATGTCATTTTTTATGGGATAGATCCATAGGGTTGTTTGATTTAATGTCATGATAATGTGTTAATATGATGTTAATTTATATAGTTTGCATTTTTCTTTAGTTTGCATTTTTCTTTGTTCTTTTTCTTTGTTCCTTTTATGAAATCCAAAACCCTATGTATGTTCCTCACACAAACCAAAAATAATAAATAAGCAGGATTCTCATATGAAATATGAATTAGTCTTAATATTACAAGAACCTAGTGATTAGGCCTTTATTCCACTTAAATTAAGAAAATTTTGGGGTTAAATCATGCAAATCGAAAATCTTAGCCATGGTCGAACTTAGGATCCCTAATTGCTTTGGAATATCATTAAAAATCCTAATTACCATCTAATTAAAAGTTTAAACATCTAATCTCCCTAATTAGCAACACTGAGCCTTAATTTCCCGTAGTATGCAATAATCGAGCCATAATCCCTTCTAATTTCCCGTAACCGAAATTGAAACATATTAATTAAGTTAATAATCCATTAAATAGTTTATAAACTTGCAAATTTAACCACTAGTTGACTTAATTTATTAGTCAATCACTTAATCAGAAAATAAATTTACTAATTAAGGCAATAACTACTTCAATGAAAATAAATACATTTAATTAACTTATAATCGCTTAATTAGATAATAAACTTACATAATTAACCTATTAATTAATTAATTAGACTAATAATAATTCAATTAAAACATTAATCATTTACTTAGGTTAATAATAACATAATTAAAACTTTAAATGATGTAATAAATCATTAATCATATAAATAATTAAATAAAATATTAGATAACTCAATTAAAATGTTAATTAAAGAATTAATGAACTATTTAATTAAATTAATTAAAAATTTAACCAATCAATAATTCATTTTAAATAAAATCACAAAAAAAAATTAATTAAAAATTTAACCAATCAATAATTCATTTTTAATAAAATCACGAAATTTTTTTGACCAATTTAATTAAAAACATTAATTTAACATTTAGAACTTTAATTTAATAAGATAATTAATTAACTAAATAATTCACAAAATAACTAACTAATATATTAAATAATTAAATTAATAAATATTTAACTCATCAATTAATATAATTAATTCATGACATTTTACTTAAATAAAATAATAATAATTAATTAATTAATCATCCTTTAAATTAAATCATTTAAAGACACACACACATTTATACATAGATATATATACATATCTATATATAAATGTCTATATATATGTATATGTATATGTATATATATATGTATATACATACACATACACATATATAGAGATACATACATACACATATATATAGACTGGGAACTTTGCTCTGCTAGAGTTTCTACCATGACGACAGGCTCTATTGTTGCTATTCCCTTGTGATTTGACTACCTTCTTCTCCTCTTTTCTCAGTTTTTGGGTGGTGTTTGCTGTTGGTTTGGGTGGTTGACACCTTTGGTCAGGTTTTCCAGCTTCCTGGGCTCAATATTTTCAAATCTGCAAGTTACTGTTCCATTGTTGTGACTGCTCCTTCTTCCCTGTTTGGAGTTTGTGTTACTTTGTTTCTGTTGTCCATGGCTTCCTCCAACCCTATCGATTTAGAAACTAATATTCAATGGGCTAAAGACACTTTTGCGACTGCGGTTGGAAAAGGTTTTGACACTGTGAAGAATTTTGAGAACCTTGTTTTTCTTCCAAAACTACCATGATGCAACAAATAGTAAAGTGGATTGTCCCTTTGTGAAACCTTTGGGCAAGAAAAGTGGGAAGCTTGCAGCTTTCTTTTCAGACAAAGAAATTCACTCCCTGTCTGATGTTTGCAGATTCACCCTCATTGGAAAATTTCAGTTTGGCCATCCTCAAATGGACATAATAAGGAAACATTTTGATGAACTCAAATTATTGGGTGCTTGGAAGGTGGGATTACTGGATGAAAGACACATCATGATCCATTTTCTGTATGTTAGACCGTTTGCAAAACAGATTCTTCATGAAGTTGCTGAAATGGACTACAGATTTTGACCCCTCACATAAGCCCCCAATTGTTCCCATATGGTTCAAGCTACCTGGGCTAAAGTTACACTTTTTTAACCATCACTTGTTGTTTACTAGCCTTGGGAAGACCCATGAAGCTAGATGCCCCCACCTTCAACATGTCTAGACCATCAATGGCTAGGATCTTAGTTGAAAGGGATATTACTCAGCCTAAAGTAGAGGAAGTCTAGCTTGACACGACTAACAATGGCTATTGACAGAAGATTGTTATGGAACAAAGGCCATACTACTGTCATAACTACAAAATTTTTGGTCATACTGACAGTAGATGCTTCAGATTACACCCAAACCTCAAAAAATCAGATCCTGGTGCTCCAATTTTGCCCCACAACCAATATTATCAGCAGTTGAAAGAAGCCCCCCCTCCCAGAAGTCAATACTATTGCCCTAATTTCAACGGAGCCTCTTTTATCTGTCCAACCTCCAAATATTGCTGAACCCTCATCTCCTGTTGAGTCTCTTGCTATGGAAGTCTCTACAGAGGCCACACTTTGTGTTGATCAGAATCTGGAGGTCACTACTGCACCTAGTTTAATCTATGCCCCCAGGCCCATTGTTATCACTGAACCTCCAAGATTGGAATCTCCTAATGTTGAGGGTGAGGATAATCTGGGGAGGTTAGTAAATGTTGATCTCGAGGAGGAATGGCAAATTCACAGGTCTAAAAGGAAGAAAAAAGGGTTCCATGAGTTGAAGAATTTATAGAATGATGGCTTAGCTGCTGGGAGTTCTTTCTCTACACCAATTGAATCTACCAGTGTTCCCTTGACAAAGATACAACAAGAATTAGAGGCTGACTGGCAGGTCTCGAAGGTTAGGGGAAAGAAGAAAGGACATAATGAGGGGAAGCCCATTTTGGATGACACTCTCATAATTGAGGCTGACAGTTCTTACTCCTCTAGAAGGGAGTCTTTAACTAGGCTTACTAGGGGTAAGTCTAAATCTTCTCATCATGATTAAGCTCCTTTGGGGCAAACCCCACACCAAAAATAGTGCCGACATTGGAATATTAGGGGGATTGCCCATCCCTATTCCTTAAAAAAGGACTACAACATCTCAATAGAAAGCATAAACTTTGGAGCATGGCTATACTTGAACCTTTGGTTCACAAAAAATTAAACAAAGTCCATAGAT